ACCCGACCACCCCCACCACCACCTCTGGGCTCTGTGCGCCTCGCATCAATGCAGGTCCCTCAGAAAGTCAAATTCTCACTTACTCAGCTCTACCAAGAATCCCCAGTGCCTTGCTATACGAAAACCCCACAAACGGCAGTTCTTCACCCGAGAAGCCTGAGGGGTTCAGCTGGCACCGAGAGGATGAAACCCACGAATTCTTCTCTGGCTCATCAAAATTGGAGGTGTCATCATCAGACTTGAGGGTGGGAACGAAGGGGGGAGGAGCTGGTTAAAGAAAAACAAGAAGGAGGGGCGGGGGAGAGAGAAAAATTCAGCCAGATTCAACACTGTTGCGGAGAAAGCCGCCTCGCTCCCTGGCGTTTGCGATGGCACTGCAGCGCCTGCCTTCAATCCAGCTCGCTCAGGCAGCCCCAGCCCCGCTCTCGCAGCAACAAGAGATTAACCCCTCCTCTGCCAACATGGCCACCCACCCGCAGGCAGGCTGCCTTCCCTGCTGGGACAGACTGAAGGATGAACTCAAACAGGTCACTTGGTGGAAAGAAAGCACTTGGGGAATTCACGCGAGCAAACCGCTCGTTGCTCGTCGCTGACATTTCCAGAAAGCTTGTACGGAGCATCGGCAGGCTGGTGCCAGCATGCCCGATGACCTAAACCTATTCATTTCCTCTTCCAGACAGGTCTACATTATTAATAGGTAGTGCTAATCGTTGAAATAAGGTGGAATCTCTACGTTTCATGGATTAACCAGGATGAGAGGGAAGGACAGGAAAGAGGATCTGGAAGGTATGTAACTCCTGTTAGGATAGCACTGCAGTCTAGCTCATTCATATCCAGATGAGCATACGTGGAGCTCTTATTAACCACTTTTTTTTAGTTCACTATCCGTTCTCCCCAGCTCAAGCCTGCCCCCCCATCCACCGCAGTTTAATCAGCATAATGAAACACCAGCCAAATAAAGTTCTTCCCAGTGATTTACAGCACCCCTGCACGCTGACAGTGTGAATGCACCGAAGGACATCGGCGTCCTACCTCATTAAGGCATGACTCCCGGCTAGGGGCATCTTACATCTTTCTCCACTTGCTGCAGACCTACTAAACTCAGGGAGGTGGAAACTCATCCATCCGTCACCAGGAGGCTGCCCTTGGTGGTGGGGTCCCCGAGGTGTAGCCGGCCAGAAGCGTTACCATGGCTGCAGGCTGAAGCGTCTGTGGTAGCCCAGCCCAGGGACTTGGCAAGCTGGGCATCACATCCCCCGCAGTGCAGGCTTCATGCTCCCCACTCTGTGCATGCTCTGGCTGTAACCCCACCTGGCCGTCTGCGTGGCAGGGGCCAATGCTGATCTGAGTGACAGGGCAGCATGAGTCACTGCCGGAGCTTGCTACAGCGCCCCCTAGGACAGTTGTCACAGCCCTTCACAGTCCAGACTTCTTGTTTAACTCCTTGTTTCCTGGACAAAGCCTTGTGCCAGACCTGAGCACCAGTTTGTTTTCTGCTTACAGACTCGAAAGACTCTGGCTGTTTTCAAAGTTCCCCAATGACGACAACATCTGAAGCAGCACTGGGAAGTAAATGGAGCGGTGAAGGGATGTGAAGAAGGGAGAAGGGGAAGCCAGAATGAGGGGTCTGGCTGCTCCCAGGAAGTGCAAAAGAGCATTCTCAGAGCTCCAGGTGCATTGAGACGAGATGGGAGATTGAAAATGTAAAATGTGCACTGCTAGGAAATTATTTAACACCTCTGAGCTCTCAAAAGAATTTAAATCTTCCCTGTTAGTATCGGAATCTACTAGCTTAATACTTTAAAAATTAGCTGATGGAAAGAAAAATTACATTCAATGCTTCAGCCTACATCCCATGTGTACTTCCATCAACACAGCCTTAAATCCAATCTGATTTCAATTACCCAGTACCTTTTTATAAGCAAAAAAAAAAAAAAAATCTTTTTAATGAAATTACATTTCATAAGAATCAAAAAGAGTTTTCCATCCTAAAATAAGGAAGCTCAGATAAAGACAGAAAAAAAGTATGAAGAGAGGTTTGCAGATGATAATAGCATGGAAGCATCGTGGTTAATGGCATATCCTTTGGGATCTGACTGAGTAGGTTCAAACTTTACCACTCAACAGCTCTGTGACATTGGGAAAGTCACTTAACGTCTCTGAGCCTCACTTTCAATACAGAGATAACTTCCTCAAAGGGCTGTTGGGAGGTTTAAGGGAAAGAATCTGTATAAAGTGCTTGCACAGTTCTCAGCATACAGTAAATGCCCCATAAACATTGTCTGCTATTACTGTTGCTCATGTGAGATACATGTTTATGACAGATGCTGTAGTTACTGAAGTTCAGTGAGATACAGCAGAACCTATGTTGAATATTCTCCTTTCCTGCACAAGACACTGACACACTCATGTGGATATTTGTGTTAATTATATTATATCATTTAATCCCTAACAGAGATTTAATCCCCTTTACACTATACACTAATCTATCTTTAGGAGACTAAAATAGAATTCCATTTCTGAGTGAGGGGTATGATTAATATAGGGGTAGGAGCCACCGTCTGTGAAATAATGATTTAGACATTCCATACTACAAAATAAGATTCCTCTTTAAAACTCCATCATGTTCAAAGGTAGCCCATGTGGTCAAGATTAGAAAAGGGGCCAGATAAGCTTCAATAAAAAGAAGTCAACATGAAATACGCCAGCCGATAACAGGTAAGATATTCACAGGACATATTAAAAGCTAGGGATGTAAACCTCCAGACAGGTAGTCAATTGAATACAACAGTAAACTCTGAAAAGAAGAGCTTCTAAGGATCACGTGTGGACAGGGACAAGCGCCATAGCCTCAGGCCAAAGGGAAGCTCAGTGGGGACCTAGAAATTGAAAGTGATGAGGGTGCTCACCCTGGACTAGGGCCCTTTAGGGGAAAGAACATAAGGTGGCTACTAAAACTGGAATCCCGGGTAGCATGTCTGCATTTTACAGCATCCTGCATGGTATGGGAACTACAAGGCAAGAAATGAACATCGATACTGGTCCAGTACCACCGAGTCCTTGGGGAACTGGCAGACACATGTGCAGGGACACTTTCACAACCCAGGACACACGCACATGTGCGTGCACACACATACACACACAATCCCTGCTGAAAATGAGTTCACAATAAAGAAGTAAAAACTAACAGTTACACGTAACAAGGAAAAATAGACTGTCCAAACTACCGTGACGAAGCATACAAGAAATGGGAAAATTTGCCCTCCAAAAACTATAGATAAAAGAACAATCTAAAATGGGTAATAAAAAAAAAAATCTTAATTTATGATCAAGGTAAATGAGTAGAAATTCTATTAAAACAACAAAATACTCTGAAAAAGGACCAAGCACATTTGAAAGGAGCCAAGTGGGATTTTTTTAAATGAAAAGTATTATCACTGAATTTAAAGTTAAAAATTCACTGGATGCATTAAATAAAAGATTAGACACAGCTGAAGAGAACATTAGTGAACTAGCAGTTATATCTGAAGAAATCACATAGACCCATGCTTCTCAAAATGTAACCTGTAGACTTGCAGCATCCACATCACCCGGGAGTTAGACAGAAATACAGAATCTCAGGCTCTGCCCCAAGCCCAAGGAATCAGAACCTGCATGCTATCAAGATATGCAGGTGATTCATGAGCACACTACAGCTGGAAACGTGCTCATATAGAATACAACACACAGAAGCAAAGAAAGGACATGAGAGGTCAAAGGACAAAGAATGAGAAGGTTCAGTACACATCTAATTGGAGCGCCAGAAACAGAGTAGAGGACCATCAAAATGTGGATGCCACATTTTAAAAGGATTATGTATAAAGACTACCAAGTTTAAAGACCACCAAGTATGTGATCACATCTATCTTGGGGGACTAATTCTCCTCTTTCTTGTACCTTATGGAAAATGGCCCTTGTTTGAGCCTCATTAACTGTAATATTTTTTCTTTAAAAAAGGTATTAAGCCCTGACCAGGTGGCTCAGTTGGTTGGAGCATAGTCCTGTACACCAAAAGGTTACAGGTTCAATCCCCGGTCAGGGCACATAAAGGAAAGCAATGGATAGATGTTTCTCTCTCACATCAATGTCTGTCTGTCTCTCTCTCTCTGTATTTATCCCTTCCCCTCTCTCTAAAATCAGTAAGCATGTCCTAGGGTGAGGAATTTTTTAAAAAGGTATTAATAGGCCATTGGATCTGTGTCTATGTTGATGGAGGTACACATTGCATCTGAGAACATTGAGTAGTGCTAGAAACATAGTAGGCACACAATAAATACTGAACAGACATATATTTAAAAGACTAGAAAATACCTCTTGCAAAAAGAACATCTAGCATAGAATACAGGCCATGAAGAAGTTAATTGATGTTTGAGTTAAATAAAGAGGCTTTAAAAGTGGAGACTGTTCTGTCTGAAAAATGTTAATGAGTGCCTATATTAATATTTTCTGATACAGTATTATAAAATCATCATCTCCCCCACAACACACCCACCACACTCAATAATGACAAATAAGAAGCCATATATTAAGATCTATTTTTCATTGGCAAAAACCACTAAGAAAAAATAGAAAAACAGTATTTCCCTATGTATTTTTAAATACATCAGCCTGTGCTTGAGGTCACATCAGGGCACATTCTCCTTAGGGGTAGGGGCTATCCAAATAAGTTCTGGAGGGTTGGTTTTTTCCGCCAGTTATAAGATAGATGGCAAAACAGGGCTTTCAGAAACAGAGCTATTTTAACAGCTATAGTTAATCTCTTTCCTATAAATTCTCTTTTTTGGAATCCTGACACTCATTAGAAGCTTTGGGGGGGGG